AAATATACAAAAGATTCTTGTAGCTATATATACTATTCAAGATATTGTTTTATATTATGCTTGATYTTGCTTCACTGCATTATTATCTAAATATATATTTTTTGTGCGTAAACGTTGATGGTTTTTTGCGAGTTTTTTTGTTTTGTTAATATATTTTTCATTAATTATTTGAATTGATTTTATAACACACATTGTAAAAATATACCATAGCTTAAAAGTATGTTGTCAATTTTTGATTGTTTGTAGGTATTAGGAATTAGGAATGAAATCATTTGCAAGGTATGGTACAGGTTAGGTTATAATACATRAATACGCCACTTTTCAGTATTACTTAATTAAATCAAGATGAATCCCCCAGGAACCTGTCGTATCACTCTATTCCTCTCTGATTTTTGAAAATTGTATACCATCATTCTAATATTTTTTTATCATAAATATTTTATCAACATAATTATTCAATGTCATATTATTTGTTTTAATGTTTAATCAAGGTTAAAGTATGAAAATAAATATATTTATCCCAATTATCTAATTATGAATATTAGAATAATAAAAAAAAAAATTAATAATATATGTATTTAGGTACCCACTATAACTATACATATAWTCACGCGAAAAAAACTAAAATAATATGTTCATATAGTTCATATATTGTAGGTAAACCAGTTTTTAATTTAATACCTACTAAATATTATACCTACCAAGAAATGAGTTTAATTTTAAAAGTTAGTATTCGTTGGAATACCCATCATCAGGGTGATATGTTGTAGAGTTGAAGTAAAATTGAAATTTATGTTAAAAATAATAAAAATTTGTTAATATAATTGCAATCGTAAATCGTAGGTATCTTGTAAATTTGACATTTCTTTTGCCGTAGTTACACGACTGAAGTAATTTCGTAAATAATTAAGTTGAGTATTTTAAGTAAATGTGTTGTTTTCATTGTTTAAAAGTGCATTGTAAAACAGTGTAATTCTACATCGTTTCTATCAACAGTAGCGTGTTAATCAAGGATTAATATAAAACTACAAATATCGCAAAAATAGTGAGTTGTGTCAATGATTAATTTCCATCTAATTTAATAGTTTCCCTTAAAGTTTTTTTATTTTTAAACTAATTTTTAGTTGTTAGAGTTATGTCGTTATGTATATTGTACCTACCTATATATACTAACAAACTATAGGTAGGTACCTAGAARAGTAATATTTTGTAAAAAAGAAAAAATGCTTTACTAATGTAAATAAATACATTTAAAACATAATTAATAATAATGATTGGTGAATGGTGAGATAATCTATAGTTAATCTTGAGTTTCGCTAATGCCGATTAAACTATTAAAAGTTTATCGTTTAATAATTATAATAACAATGAATCATAAATCCATTTGAATTAAAATGCCGTCCGGAAAGTATGTAAATCACGTTATGGCAGGCATTTAAGCACAGGAACAAACACCAACTGACCCAGTGTCTATATATAGTACCTTTAAAGTCATCGAATAATGGAATATGAAAATTTTATCAAGTGAAGTTCGTGAGCACACATTGACAAGGCCATCACGTTACACCCAAATTTAGTGGAAATTTCTATTGTTGATGGCAAAAAGCGCAAACTTATATTACATATGTTTACACGTCTTATRTCATAGGTATGAAATCATTATGCTTCGGCGCCACAGCTGTCTGATAGAAAATTAATTTCATTTGTAATCGCTCGATAAAAAAATATTAGTAATAATATTATTATTCGTAAATACAACTACAGGCATAAATACAAAAGCACATGATGTCTGCTCGAGCGTAATACTTATCTGAATGACGTAAAGTATGGTCTTACAGATTTTTAAAATAATAYTTAATATCGAGATATAGATAAATGAAACAGAGTAGATAACTTACTGACATATCTTTCTGGAAATCACATAATAAACTACTAGCAATGTTATTAGTAATTACACGCTACGAAAAGGTAAATGAGACGTGGGTACATTATCATCATGGTTAAACTCTGTACAGAGAAACGGCTGCACATACTAACGATAAACGTCTTTGCTAAGTGCATTTTTATCAAATTTTTTTTTTGAGTAAACGTTCTTTACAAAGATCTAATCAGGTAGAATCCGTGTTACGCATTAATTTTCGTTAAAACATCGGCACATCGCCAACTAAAATAATTTATCAAAAGGTTGATTGGAAAATATTCCCCGGACGGCATAAAATAAATAAATTTTTTTTTATTTGCTTTACGATATATCAATGAACAGTAAGATAAACCAGCGTAAACCATTTAATCATCCGTCGTTGAAAGCTTTACCGATCGCGGGAAAAAATTAAAAATAGCCACTGCCGATTGAACGCGAGGAAATTTCGTGAAATTWGTAATATAACGTCATAATCGAATAAATTGATAACATACATACAGCATCGAGTTTTATAATTATTGTGAACAGTGCAAACACGTTATTGCATCTGAATTAAAAATACCGATTCATTTAAACGAAGAGAGTAAAAAATGCTTTTGAAAACGTAAAACGCGCGAATAATATGACTTCAACCGATAAATGATAATAATAATAATGTTATAATAATTATATCGATATGTTAGTACACTGCACCATCAGAACGCTTTTCACTGTCAGTGGTTGTTATTCGTCACGTACAGAACAATATATCAAAATTCGTTTTCAGCAACAGCTTTGTTTAATCCAGCAGATGATGTGTRTATGATGTTTCCTGAAGCGTGTGAACCCATTTTAAATTGATTTTTATGAACACGATGGTTTTGGCATAGCTATAGCATATATATATTTATATATAATCAATGAAAATGATAATTTTAAATTTCTGCAATTCATCCAGAGATTTTATAGCAGTACATTATACAGGTGGGATTCGCGCTGGCGAATGTCATCCGCCAATAGTGTTCACTGTTAAGTAATAGATAATAGATTTATAATTTGAAATTTCGTTTTACATTTATCCAACTGTTATAAGTAATAGATAAATAATTATGAAACGAAATTTACAATTATAAGGAACATACAAAGCTCACAGTAACAAAAAAAAACTTGTTTTCGCGAGAGCATTTTAATGTGCGTTATTAATAATATTATTGATT